GTGATATCGCTTCAGCCGTGTTTTTTGTCAAGTGAAGTTGTGAATCTACTGGAGTTTTTGCTGTTCTGTTTGAGTAGTTTTTAAATCTCTCAAGTATTTTTTCAGCATAGTGAGCTTGACACAGGATGATTCCTTCGGAATTTCTAGTTATTTTAATCCCTAGAATTACATCCGCGAGTCCCATATCTTTCATATCAAACTTTCTCCTTAGCAATTGCTTTGTTTGATTGATAAGATCTTTCGTGCTTCCGATAATGAGCATGTCATCAACGTACAAGCATAATAAAATATACCCTTGTGATGTACATTTTATGTAGATGCATTTGTCACATTCGTTGATAATGAAACCATTTGACTTCATTACATTGTCAATTTTTTCATGCCATTGTTTTGGAGCTTGTTTAAGTTCGTACAATGATTTCACAAGTCTACAAACTTTATGTTCTTGACCTGGAACTACAAACCCCTCGAGTTGTTTCATATAAACTTCCTCTTCTAAAACACCATTTAGAAAGGCAGTTTTTACATCCATTTGATGGATTTCTAGGTCTCTCAATGCTGCGATGTTTACTAGCAGTCGGATTGAGGTTATTCTCGTTACTGGAGAATATGGGTCAAAGAAATCCAGGCCTTCTTTTTGCCGGAATCCTCGGACCACAAGCCTAGCTTTGTATTTTTCTATGGAGCCATCGATTTTCAGCTTTGTTTTGAAAATCCATTTACACCCTAGTGCTTTAAACCCTTGTGGTAGATCAGTTATCACATATGTATGGTTTTGCATAATAGAGTCGATCTCACTATTAATAGCTTCCTTCCAAAAAGGTGCATCTGGTGTAGACATGGCCTCAGCGAAAGTTCTTGGTTCATTTTCTGAAAGAAAGACCATTAAGAAATCTTCGCCGTAAGATTTTTCCTTGCGAGCCCTTTTGCTACGTCTAGGTTCATCGTGTACTTCTTCTGCATCATCAAAGGATGTGCCTGAAGTGCTTGCCTCATTTACAGAGGTTATTATATCTCTCTCTTCATGAGTTTGTTTAGAATTTTGTTTATTCTTACACAGAAACACGTGTTCGAAGAAAGATGCATTTCTAGATTCCATGGATGTATTAACGTGGATATCAGATACTTCTGATTTATGAACCAGAAACCGATAAGCACCCTGTTGTGTGCATATCCAATAAAAATGCAATCCACTGTTTTTGGTCCGATTGTGACCTTTTTTGGAGGTGGTACAGCTATTTTTGCTAGACACCCCCACACTTTCAAGTATTTATACGATGGTGGAGTACCTTTCCAAAGTTCATAAGGAGTTTTTCCCGTGACTTTGTGTGGTATCTTATTAAGGATATAATTTGTGGTAAGCAAAGCTTCCCCCCACCCCCGGCTAACCCAGATTCCTGTAACATCGCATTCATCATCTCTTTCAGAGTTCGGTTCTTCCGTTCCGCAACTCCGTTAGATTCTGGAGAATAAGGAGCGGTTGTTTGATGGATGATCCCATGTTCTAAACAAAAGACATTAAACGGTCCATCATATTCGCCTCCTCTATCACTTCTAACTATTTTAATAGTTTTATTAAGTTGGTTTTAAACTTCACGTTTATATTCCTTGAATTTTTCCAAGGTCTCATCCTTACTACGTAATAAATATACATAGCAATATTTTGTGTGATCATCGATGAATGTTACAAAAACATTTTTACCGCCTCTAGTTGGTGCATATTTTAAATCACACAAGTCTGTATGTATTAGACCTAGAGGTTCAGTTATTCTTTCAACTTGGGGTGATGGGGTTTTTGTGAGTTTGGCCTATACGCACACTTCACATTTTTCTTTGCTTGTTTTGCATTTTGGGATTAGGTTCAAGTTCATAAATCTTTTTATCGATTTATAATTCACATGTCCTAACCTTTCATGCCAAATATCAAATGACTCATGCAAATAAGCAACGGGAGTGTTCTTATTGATAGAAATCATAGAAGCAGATTCAACAACATTTGAAACAGAAGCAACATTATTAGCAACAATATTATTAGCAATTGCAGCTCCGTTGTTGCGAAGGACTGTCGTGACACACATCTTGATCAGTCTGTTCTTCTCATATCCCCCGCCAATAAACACCCTAAATTTCTTCAGCACATGCTTTTCTGACTCAAGGTTAGCAGCAAATCCGGTCTTGCTTATCAGAGTGCCGGAAATCAGGTTCTTCCTCATGTCAGGCACATGCTTCACATTCTGAAGAGTGAGTTCTTTTCCTGAGGTCATCTTCAGCATCACTTTTCCACGACCAATGATCTTGGAGAATGCTGAGTTTCCCATGAACAACTGCTCAGTTGATTTGCTCTTCTGATAGGTGCTGAACATTTCCCTATCAGCACAAATGTGGGTTGTGGCACCAGTGTCGTACCACCATTCTTTCGGGTTGTCTTCAACCATGTTGACTTTCGAGACCACAGCACACATGTCCTCTTCTGTCAAGTTGGCTTGAGCTCTCCCATTGTCTTTTTTGGCCTGCTGCGGCACACATCACTTTTGTGACCAATCTTGTTACACTTGTGGCATTTTCCTTTAAAATTCCTCTCAGCATTGCCTTTCTTGAAGTTTGTTGAGGAGGTTGGTTTCAAAGGGGATGGCATTGCCACGGCCTTGCCCTTTCCTTTGCCTTTGTGGGTTGCCACGTTCACATTGTGCTCCTGGAACTGCATACCGTTTGCCCTACGATTTCTGTCTTCCATTTGCAGCCTAGTGACAACATCTTCAAGGGACATCATCTTCCTCTTGTGCTTGAGATAGTTCTTGAAATCCACCCAACACGGAGGTAACTTCTCAATGAGGCTGATGACCGTAAAGATCTCACAGATGGACATTCCCTCAGCAGCTATTTCTTGGAAAATCAGTTGGAGTGCCTCCACTTGATCCATGATGGGTTTGGAATCCACCATTTTGAAGTCGAGAAATTTTGCAACCGCATATTTCTGACAGCTAGCACCTTCTGATTTGTACTTCTTCTCCAGCGACTTCCACAAGGACTTAGAGGATGGTTCTTTACTGTACACAAGGTACAGCTTGTCACTTAGGCGGACTAAGATCCAACCTCTGCATATGAAGTCCCCATGGGTCCATGCTTGAACACTTGCAAGAGTGTAGGCATCAATGTTTCCGACTGGAAGGATCGGTTGATCTTCAGTGAGAAACTTATCGAACTTCATGTTCGTCAAGAAGAAGTGCATCTTCAACTGCCATGTTTTGAACCCTTTTCCGTCAAAGTGATCTGGCATGAGTCCTTGACTCGCGGAAGCAAGGATTGACGGAATTATTGGGTGGTTGGAACCAGTTGCAACAGCCGCAGGAGTACCATCGCCAAACAAGACCTAGCATGTCACCTCATCGACATCATCTGCACCCACTGGTCCAAACTCATTCCCTTGTGGAAGATTGCCCAAAGGATTTTGTTGATTGATCACATTGGTATTGTTAGCCATCTGATCACAATTAAACAAAAGATGATCAGTATACTAATAATTTGAACTAGAGTTCAAGTAATGATTTACACTTAAACCAGTAAATCGTTTGTAGCAAATCTTATATAGATCGCTTTGTTTAGTAAACTCGCTTTTAAAGCGTTCACTGAAACGTTAAACATGTGAAAGCGTTTTGCAAACTAACTTTTAAAGCGTTCGCAGAAACTTTAATACCCTTTTTTAAAAAATATTGTTTATAATAATAAAACGTTTTGCAGAATCGCTAAAAATAAGCGTTCGCAAAACCAAATAGTATTGTTTCGAAAAACGATTTGCAGAAACGTTATAGAGGCAAATCGCAAATCCGTTTATCGTCTTTAGAACCAAAACCGTATTAGAAATCTTTTTTAGAAATCCATAATATAAGACGATTTTGGATAATTAAAAATTTATAAAACCGCAAAAAGTTAATCTGATTGTAGCAAAAGGCTATAAGCGGATTTTTTTGAGTTATGATTGTAGGAACCGCAAAATCGAATTAATAATTGCGATGAATAAATAACTTAAAGACGATAATGATGTAAAAAAAAATAGTAGAAACGGGAATAAAAATACGATTAATACAAAAAAATAATCGGAGTCGAGAATTTGATCCTCTTTCTTTAACTCAAAAAATCACCCGTAGTGTGACTGTTCTCTACAATTTAGAGTCCCAGGATACAACCAATGGGAGACCGTTTCGCAGCACTCGAAAGACAGAATCTACGAACTTAAAATAAATTCTACTTAAACTCTCGAGACTTACTATGAACAAAAGATTTGCTGGAATGAGAGAGAGAGATGTTTGTGAGAAAAACTGTGTATCTAGAATGAAAGTGAAGGCTTTCAAGTCAGTACTTACTATACTCAAACCGTCAAATATTAATTAAAGTTATTATGTATGTAGAATAACCTAAATTATTTTTCATTCTCTCAATTTTCAGCAAAATATTCACAAAAGATATTTTTGTCCAAAAATATAAAATATTATTTCTTATAGAATAGAAAAATATAATACATAATAGAAATGTTAATTTAGATATTATACATATTATATAAAGAATATCATAACCACAAGTTTGATATGGTCACAAAATTAAATAACATGTCTGTAATAGTTATTGAGCCAAATTACTCATAAATTAAAAAATATTAGTGTATGAAGGAAAAAAAAACTCGAGTGTGAATAAAGATAATAGAAACGCAATCCAATATATGAAATCTCTTTCGACAAAGAATAAACCAGTCCAGTAAAATGTGTCAAAATACTATCCGAGACAGAAGATCTTCGCTACCATTCTACTCTATCAAGGGAATCTAAATCCAACACTTTCGACCAATTATAACTTGCTGACTTGTACATGTGATAATCCCCAAACACGAACAGCTTCGCTGTTATAAAACCCTATTGGTTCAACATCTCATCTCAACGCACCCTCTCTTCAATCCTTTGTAGTTAAGAAAAAAAAGAAGATTTGGATGAGAAATGGCCATGTCAGCAATCCAGCAGTCTTCATTCGTCGGCCAAACGGCTATCAAGCCATCCAACGACCTCCTTTGCAAGGTCGGTGTCTCCGGCGGCGGCCGCGTCACCATGTGCCGCAATGTCAAATCCACTCCTCAGAGCATTTGGTACCAAATCCATGTAGGAACCGCAAAACCGAATTAATAATTGCGCTGACTAAATAAGTTAAAGACGATAATGATGTAAAAAAAATAGTAGAAACGGGACTAAAAACACGATTAATACAAAAAAAAAAATCAGAGTCGAGAATTTGATTCTCTTTCCTTAACTCAAAAAATTGTCCGTAGTGTGACGGTTATGTAAGAAAAACTATGTATCTAGAATGAAAGTGAAGGCTTTCTTTTATAGCCAAGAGGAGGAGCATGTTACAAATCTTCTTAATAAAGACGAAAGCGTAACTGATGCAAAAGAGAGATTCTTGGGCAAAATCCGCAAAATTTATGAGTCAAAGAGTCATGAATTTTGAATTATGACTGATTCTTAATTTCTTGGTCAAAGTGTTAATAATTAATTTTAAAGTCTGAGCCCAAAACTAATTATTAAAATTTGGCCCAAAAAAGAATAGTCGCTCACGGCCCACACGACCCGTGCCTGGCTTAGCGGCAGCGCGCGCATGTGGTTTATTTTAGTCTCTCATATGCACTCCATAGGTAGTTAGCTAGTTGAACACTAGCATTAACTCTTCTCTATATATACTAGAGCATTTTGCTCAATGTTTTCGATGTGGGACTTTTAAACTTCCCCATCATTTACACTTCATTCAATATAAGGTCACAACCCATTTCTCTTCACTCAAGCTCAATTTTTCGAAAGCCCATTAGCTTTTAAAATTGGGTCCAACAATCCAATTTCGCTCCCTCTCTTTATTTTAATTAGCCAGACTTACTTTTCTCTAATCTTCAGATCTCTTTAACCAAATAAGCAATCTGATTATATAATAGGTAGGGACCAGACCGTCCCAAGTACTTGGGACCGTTTTTGGAGAACACGCCGTCATACCTAACCAGAGAATACCCTAGAGACTACGGCTGGGACACCGCTGGACTATCGGCTGACCCAGAGACATTCGCTAAGAACCGTGAGCTTGAAGTAATCCACAGCAGATGGGCAATGTTGGGAGCTTTGGGATGCACATTCCCTGAGATTCTCTCCAAAAACGGAGTCAAATTCGGAGAAGCCGTGTGGTTCAAGGCAGGATCTCAAATCTTCTCAGAAGGAGGTCTTGATTACCTTGGAAATTCTAACTTGATCCACGCGCAAAGCATCTTAGCCATCTGGGCTTGTCAAGTTGTGCTCATGGGTTTCATCGAAGGTTATAGAATCGGAGGTGGACCACTCGGTGAAGGGCTCGACCCACTTTACCCTGGAGGTGCGTTTGACCCATTGAATTTGGCAGAGGACCCAAAGGCCTTCTCTGAGCTGAAGGTGAAGGAGATCAAGAATGGTCGTCTTGCTATGTTCTCAATGTTTGGATTCATTGTTCAAGCCATTGTTACTGGTAAAGGTCCCATCGAGAACTTGTTTGATCACTTGGCAGATCATGTGGCTAACAACGCCTGGTCTTACGCTACTCACTTTGTCCCCGGAAAGTAAAATCTTATGGATTTGCTTCTTAATCTATCTACTTTGTAAAACCGTTAATGTATTGTTCGTGTTTTATTAAATTTAGTTCTTGGTGACGTTTATCTATGGGAACTGTTTTTTTTTTCTATCGATTTCACATTTGTTAAGTTCCAAAATTACATAAGAGGTTCATAGAAGCCCAATATCCAGATAAAAAATATATGGACCAAGTAAAAGGAATGTGTGAATAAAGTAGTACTATTAGAGTCTCTTATTAGAGCGCTTAACCAAGATCTTAAATGTGATAAATATCATCTTGACGTCGCTCGCGTAACATCCAACTTTTTAAGAGTAAAATCTATCATAAGCGAAAAAAACGAAATTTAGATAAAAAAGACTAGAAATTGCACGAAACACTTGTAGAAATTCTGAGTCTTGACCTTAAGGTTCACACTAAAGATGAATGAGTAAATAATTGTTGCAGGTATGAAATCTTCAGTTACGGAATGAGAAAATGAGGATGCCACATTTATATGTAATAAAGAGATATCTAGACACCAATCCACAAAAATTTGAAATTTCACCCAAGAAACTAAAAAAGATTATGAGATTTGTTTCAATCAACTAACAGACAGTATAATGGTCATGTGCTCATGATCAGCGTTTGTGTGTGTGAGTATGTGTAGTCTTACATTTAAATAGATAGACCTACAGGTCGAAGATCGTACATATCTAACTATTGATGTTAAGGACAAAAACTCACTTATATTGTGAACACGAGCTAGTGTACGATAAAATTCTTCTTATGCAACAGGTGGCAATCGGCCATTGGTCATAAGATATTGAGACTTTTGAGCCAATGTGTCGGTTGTTTTTTTTTTGGTACACTTCAGGGGAATAATACATCTCCCAATCTTATTGAATAGAAACAAAACCTCACATACGAACAAGTCTAGGCCTTGAAGAACCACTAGAGTCCTCTACCAGAATTGAAAACAAAGTAGCTGGAACAACATCAAAGAAATGAAAGCCTAAAGGCAGAGTAAACGCATAGTTAGCTAACCCATCAGCAAGACGGTTAGCTTTCCTATACACATGAGTAATCCGGACTGACCAGTCCCTAGATAGAAAGCCATAGCACAAACGCACTAAGAAAGACAGCGGATGCCAATCTCTAACCCTTGTCGTTAGAAATCCCACCACTATCTGCGAATCCACTTCCAATTCCACTCGTGTAGCTCTTCTCTCCCAAGCTATATATAGACCATAGTAAACTCCCCACAGCTCCACAGCAGGGGCAGAGCATACTCCGATATTTAGAACGAATCCCCCGCACCACTCACTAAACTCATCCTGCAGTACACCACCAGAAGTTGCCAAACCCGGATTCCCGTGTGATGCTCCATCCGTGTTGAGTTTTAACCACCCATCACCCCGACCCGTCCATGCTTTTAACCGCTCTACTCGACTTATTACCCTGTCGAGACCTCTCACTTTCTCGTGAGCCAATACTACTTCACTCGCTACATTTTTTAGGAACTGCGTTCTGTCCCTACATTTAGCATTAGTACCAAAGATGTTCCCGCAACGCCACTTCCATCCCCACCATACTGCCATTGCAAATAAGGTAGCCCATGGACTCTTCTCCACCACGTTTGAGTCCCCCAGATTGCTATATAACCATTCCATTAAAGGCATTTCAAAAAAAGCATTACATTTATTTACAGGTACTATTCGGCACCAGATTCCCTCCATCGCTGGACAATCTCGAAGAACATGGATTATGGATTCTTCTCCACTCCTGCAAATCTGGCAAATGCCCGTAGCTCCTAAGTGTCTCCGAAGCCTCTCCATATCGGTCATTATCACCTGGTGTACTACTAACCATAAGAAGAGTCGCACTCTTTCTGGAGCTATCACTTTCCAGACCCGATCAAACATACTCCACATATCCGGTCTTGGAACATCATCTCGTGAAAGTAGTGAATAAGCGGACTTCACTGCGAAGTCACCATCTTGACTTGGACCCCAAGATATTCTATCCCTTGCTCCTGTAATATCATCGAGAACCACTCCTCCTAGCTTCAGTCGATTAAAGTGTGAAATATATGGTGTAATTCATGGAATATCCCATCCCCTTCTCTTGACCCATAGCTCTCAGACTCGTAGATTCAGCATATGCTCTGGAGGCGTTCCCACAACTTGCTCCACGAGCGGTGTCTCCGTTAACCATTTGTCCCTCCAAAACTTGATCATACGGCCATCCCCGACACTCCATTTCAGCCCCGGGAGAACCACTTCTGTCATCCCCATCATCAAACTTCGCCATGTTGAAGACCAAGAACTCTTTGCCCTTATGTCGTGGAAGCCATCAACATCAGTGAAGTTGTACTTGCTTTGAACTACCCTTGCCCATAAACTCGTCTGGTCATGCAGCAATCTCCAGCCCAGTTTAGCCAGTAAAGCCTTGTTCATATTCTGAGCTGTACGAATCCCAAGTCCACCTTCTCTCTTAGGTACACAGACTTTCTTCCAAGCTACTAAATGTTGTTTCTTCTGTTCCGTAGAGCTACCCCAGAGGAAAGAACGTGAGATTTTATCCAGCCGCTTCAGGGTAGATCCAGGTAATGCAATGGTACTCATCGAGTGGATAGTGATCGACGAGAGAACTGACTTTGTTAAGGTAAGTCTCCCTGCAAAACTCAAAACTCGCACTTTCCATCCCGCCAGTTTCGACGAAACTCTTCCAAGCACCTCGCCAAACGTCTCTTTGTTTATTCGCTTCTGTAGTACAGGCATTCCCAGATATTTGCCTAAGCCCCTCGTTGTCTGTATTCCACTCTCTTATGCAATCAGTTTCTCCAAATCTCGATGAACATTGTTGGAAAAGTAAATCTTTGATTTTTCAAAGCTCACTTTTTGCCCTGAAGCCACGCAAAACCTCTCCAATACGCTTCTTATTACCCTTATTTGTGCCACTGAAGCTTCTGCAAACAGAATGAGATCATCGGCAAAGCAAACGTGTGATAATTTTGGTCCTCCCCTCGAGATACTAATCGGCTTCCACACTCCTGACATTGTCGACTGATCAATCATATGACATTGTCTTTCAAGGCACAACACGAACAAATATGGTGACAAGGGGTCTCCCTACCTCAATCCTCTCCTCGGAGTTAACGGCTCTGTCTTTTCTCCATTCCAGAGCAAGCTCATCTGCGGGCCAGTAACACAGCTCATGATCCAATCAACCCACTTATCAGGCAGCCGTGCTACTCGTAGTGTATCTTCAAGGAAGTTCCAACGTACCCTGTCGTAAGCTTTCTCTAAATCAAGCTTGAGAAGCATCCACCCCTTTCTTCCCTTCTTCCTTTGCATTGAATGGACTACTTCTTGCACCACCACAATATTATCAGCACTCAACCTGCCAGGGATAAAGCTAGACTAAGCCGGTCCTATCAGCTTGGAAATGACTTTCTTCAAGCTAGATTGAGCCGGTCCTATCAACTCTTCCAAGCACCTCGCCAAACGTCTCTTTGTTTATTCGCTTCTGTAGTACAGGCATTCCCAGATATTTTCCTAAGTCCCTCGTTGTCTGTATTCCACTCTCTTCTGCAATCAGTTTCTCCAAATCTTGATGAACATTGTTGGAAAAGTAAATCTTCGATTTTTCAAAGCTCACTTTTTGCCCTGAAGCCACGCAAAACCTCTCCAATACGCTTCTTATTACCCTTATTTGTGCCATTGAAGCTTCTGCAAACAGAATGAGATCATCGGCAAAGCAAACGTGTGATAATTTTGGTCCTCCCCTCAAGATACTAATCGGCTTCCACACTCCTGACATTGTCGACTGATCAATCATATGACATAGTCTTTCAAGGCACAACACGAACAAATATGGTGACAAGGGGTTTCCCTGCCTCAATCCTCTCCTCGGAGTAAACGGCTCTGTCTTTTCTCCATTCCAAAGCAAGCTCATCTGCGGGCCAGTAACACAGCTCATGATCCAATCAACCCACTTATCAGGCAGCCGTGCTACTCGTAGTGTATCTTCAAGGAAGTCCCAACGTACCCTGTCGTAAGCTTTCTTTAAATCAAGCTTGAGAAGTATCCACCCCTTTCTTCCCTTCTTCCTTTGCATTGAATGGACTAATTCTTGCACCACCACAATATTATCAGCACTCAACCTGCTAGGGATAAAGCTAGACTGAGCCGGTCCTATCAGCTTGGAAATGACTCTCTTCAAGCGTATAACCATGGCCTTTGTAATCACTTTAAACAGCACATTGCACAAACTAATAGGTTGAAACTGCTTAATCGTCTCTGGCTTAAGAACTTTGGCAATCAATACCACTGTTGCATCGTTAATGCCTCGCGGTAGGACCCCTGTATTGAAGAAATTCAGGACAAAACTCACCACTGAACTTTCGACAACATCCCAGCACTCTTGATAAAATACTGGTTGTTATCCATCCGGGCCTGGCGCTTTATATTTGCCCATACTACGAACCGAGAACTCCACTTCCTCTGCTGAGAACGGCTTGTTTAGCTCTCGCCGCTCATCACTTGTTAGTTGCGCAAACCCTTCACTCGATAGTGTGGGCACAGTTAGTTCCACGTCGTCAAGTGAGTATAGTTTCGAGAAATAGTCAATCGCCAGCTTTTCTAGTCCTTGACTCACCCATCTACCTTCGTCATCTTTTAGTGATTCGATTCTATTCCTGCGTCTTCGTATCACTGTCAACATGTGGAAATATTTAGTGTTTCTATCCCCCAGGCTATCGTCTTTTCCCTCGACTTCTGGAACCATAGAACTTCTTCCTGCTCCAGCACAGTTTCGAACTCTTTCAGCAGCTCCTCCTCCTTTACGATGAGAACATCTGTTTGACTCACTTCCAACAGCCCTTGAATCCCCTTTATCTCCGCCATCAGTTTTTCTTTCTTCTGATGCACATCTCTAAATACTTTCCTGTTCCACTGGCGCAACTTTTCCCTCAACCTCTTAAGGGCCATCGGAGTAGATACTTCTCCATTCCAAGATGTTGACAGAAGTTCTCTGAAACCAGAATGTTTTAACCAAGCAGCTTCGAATCTGAATGGTCGTCTTCTCGGGTCCCCTCGTACCTCCGGGCTCATCTGAATATACAGAGGAGCATGGTCCGATGATAAGAATGGGAGATGGGTAACCATCGCCTCCTGCCACTTCAATCTCGTGTTTGCACAACATAGAACTCTATCCAACCGCTTCGTAACAAACGTGGATTCAGCCCTTCCTCTTTTCCAAGTGAAACTATTCCCTTTAAACCCCATGTCTATTAGGGATAGCTCGTTTATCCATTCTCCGAAAGTCAGAGAATCAGCTGAAAGTCTTCCATTGCCCCCCGTGCGCTCATCTAAGCGAACAATTGTGTTAAAATCTCCACCAATCACTAGTGGTTCTGTGACACTTTGGATTGCCCAACTTAGCTGTCCCCATAAGTTACTCCGTTTACTCACTGAGGGGGCTGCATAAACGACAATCTAGTGAGTGATATACACACCATTCTGAACTCTAGCATGGATAAATTGATCCGACGACTCCAGAATCTCCACCTCCCCTACATCAGACTTCCATAACATCCATAGCCCGCCACTTTGGCCTATAGCATCTACTCGAAAGGAACTGTCGAAGCCAAGGCCTTGACAGATTTTTCTTGCACGGTCCCCTCCGGCGTGAGTCTCGAACACCGCCAGTATGTCTGTCTTAAACTTCTTCAATAAATATCGAATCGATCGTCTAAAATTGGGTTTATTCGCCCCCCTCCCCCCCCCCCCCCAGCAATTCCATAATAAACAATTCATCATATCTTCTTGCGTCTTGATTAACTGAAACGCCGGGGCACCCTGTTATGCGATTGTCGGATCATCATTCGTCTCCGACAAGCTGGTGACCATTTCCGACTCCCCAATCTTGCCAGTCTCATTGGATTCACCCAGACCTGAACTCTCCATACTTGTGACCGAGATTCGTGGACTAACCACTCCCGCATTGCTTCCAGGGTCAGTCTCGAATGCACCTCCTGGTCTCCCTATACGATCCTGCTCCACTCGCATTCTCTTCCCTGATTCAGAGAGTTCGATTTCCCCCCGAGTCGGCCCATAAACTAACCCCCTCGTGGGCCTGATGGGAATATGTTTAAGCTTCTGTTTATTCCCCTTGTTGGGCTTACTACTTCCACCCTTTTTGCCCTTAGGCCCATCTGTCACCACTTGATGGTTCCTCCAGCTCCCCCGCCAAAGAGACCTGCTTGAAATAGGTCTAACTCTTTTCCTTTCTCGTTACTCTTTGGAATATTCGCTGTCCCGCAATTTTCCTTCCCCATGGGCCCTACTTGCCTAATCTCTGGAGTTTCCATATCTTCCCCAAGCATTCTAAAGCTGTTCGCGGTTGGGATATTCTCTACTTCCATATTTTACGGGATCTCTTTCAGATTTCTTCTGAGATTCACGTTCGAACTCACGACCACCTCTCTCACTGAGTTCGACGGCGCACTCATCCTCCGTGCTATCCTAACTTCCGTGAAGCCCTCCTCCACCCGAATCGGCTCAGCCGATGTCCCATTGCTCCCTCGCGTCGTGTTCTCCACTAGTTTTTCTGGCACTAGTTTATGACACGAATGGACCAAATGTCCATACAATCCACAGGTCGAGCATATATTGGTCAGCCCCTCATATGCCACAAAATACCGATCCCTATTAATTGACACTGATCCTTTTAAGGGTCTCGATAAATTGACTTCAATACACACTCTCGCGAAGCGAGCTCTCTCGAACTTCTGCGTGGTCTGATCCACTTTGATCAGTTTTCTGAGCCCTTTGGAATTCCCATAAGAATCGCTCTATGGTAAAAGTTAACTGGAACATTCGATAGTCGCATCCACACCGGTGTTGTAGTGATTTCATCCCTCAAAGGATCAAACTCCGGTGACCAAGCTTGCACCATAAGATAACTCCCAAAAGCTCTCTACGGACCCCCGGTTAACGCTTTCATGAAATCCTTTTCTCCCGCAAAACAGACCATGAAAAATTGACAGGGTAGATCAACAACGACCATAGTTTCACTTGGTCTCCACACTCTTAACTTCCTATTCAAAGTCGCAATCTCAACGCTTCTTCCAAAGACTTTCACGATCATGCATTGTTTCCATAAGCCGTTTATTGCTTCCAACACATCCTGTTCGATCGTAATCTCCGGTTCACCATCCTCTCCATTTGGAAACTCCACATGAAGCTGTTCAGCAACAAAGCCGTCATCTACCACCATCTCTGGGATCGGCATACCTCCTCTACTGGTTCCCGTCACCTTTCTCACCCATAAGACAGGCTCATCGGATAGATCCGGTGGTCTCGTCCCACTTCCAATCTCCGTCATCTTAGTTCGCCGTTCTCCAAAACCCTAGAGTCGCCCATTCTCTCATTTGTTCACTAGAAAAACAATTATAATTAATAATGTGTCGGTTGTTGATAAGATTGAAACACAGGAGTCAACTCTTTCATTGCCACTCATCTCTCTTCTTCCTAAAAACGTCGCTACAACAAGCGAGTTGCAGAGCAGATTAAGGAAAGGTAAATCGTGTTTTCTTTTTCTATTTTTTTTCTTCTGATTAACTTGCTTTGATTTGTGTTTTGTAATCGGTGAATCTGTTTTAAAAAAAATTATTTGGATTACTACAAAATCTTGTTTCGCTAATTTTAGCGCTTGAATTTTTTAATGAAATCTTATTACTAAAGCACTGCAGCACTAGAATCATTTGATGGCATTTGTTTTGACAGTGGATCAGGAGAGTAGTTATGGCTGAGGGAGTTGTGACGTTTGGAGTGCAGAAACTTTGGGAGCTCCTAAGTCGAGAATCTAAGCGATTGCAAGGAGTTCACGAGCAAGTTGCTGAACTAAAACTGAAGATGATAACTTTACAGTCATTGTTGAAAGATGCAGATGCCAAGAAATATGAGAGTGAAAGAGTGAGAAATTTCCTGGAAGATGTCAAGGACATTATTGATGATGTTGAGGATATAGTTGAAACCTTTTTTCTCAAAGAATTTAGTGGAAAGGAAAAAAAGATCAAGAAGCGTGTGGAAAGACTTTCTTGCTTCTTAGTGGATCGTCGGAAATTCGCTTCTGATATTGAAGGCATAACTAAGAGGGTCTCTGAGGTGATTTCACGAATGCATAGTTTTGGTATACAACAAATTATTGATGGTGGATGTTCGCTGTCGCTGCTAGAAAGACAAAAGGTGCAAAGGGAGATACGACAAACATTTTCTGACAGTTCTGAAAGGGATCTTGTGGGAATGGAACAAAATGTTGAAGAACTGGTAGGTCATTTGGTGGAGAATGATAACATCCAAGTGGTTTCCATATCTGGGATGGGTGGTGTTGGAAAAACCACGCTAGCCAGACAAGTTTTTCATCATGATATTGTTCGACGTCATTTTGATGGATTCGCATGGGTATGTGTTTCACAAGAGTTTACGAGAAAGTATGTTTGGCAAAGGATCTTGCAAGATCTTATACCACAAGATGGGGACATTAAATAGATGGAAGAGTATACACTTCAGGGTAAGCTCTTTCAACTGTTGGAAACCTCTAGATACTTAATTGTCCTCGTTGATGTATGGAAAAACGAAGATTGGGACCGAATAAAAGTCATATTTCCCCCAAAAAGAGGTGAGTCCTAATTATATATACATTACATAGGTAATTTCTTTTCAGTTTCATAAGTCGTTGTTAAGTAGTCATCATAGCCTTTTATCCCCTAACATGAAAGGAAAAATAATTTGCAGGTGGGAAAATGATAATTACTTCTCGCAATGAAGGTGTTGGTTTACATGTAGATCCAACATGTTTTGCATTTAGACCAAGAATCTTTACTCCCGAGGAAAGCTGGAAGCTTTTTCAGAGGATAGTATTCCCTAAAAGAGACAAAACTGGTATGCTTTCAGATTTAAAATGAAGTCTAGAGCTCTTGTGAATTGTTTTCCTCTAATGAATCTTTAGGGCCAAGAAGTTTTGTTTCTCTTGTGCTTTCAGAAGGTTATAAAAAGAATCTTGCGACTTATTTTACTAAACTATTTCTGATACACTAAAATTATGCAACATAAATATTTTAAGGCTCAAATCTTAAAATATATTACGTGATGATGATTTACAGAACTTAGAGTTGATGAAGAACTAGAAGCCATGAGTAAAAAAATGGTCATATATTGTGGACGACTACCATTAGCCGTTAGAGTGGAGAAGAGTATATGACAATATTAGCTAAGAAATCTAAGGTTTCCGAATGGAGAAGAGTATATGACAATATTAGATCTCAAATCATAGGAAACACTGGTTTGGATGACAACAAACTCAATTTGGTTTACAGAGTATTGTCTCTGAGCTATGAAGATTTGCCAATGCAGTTAAAGCACTGCTTCCTTTACCTAGCCCATTTCCCTGAAGACTACAACATAGATGTGGAACTATTGTTCACTTACTGGGCTGCAGAAAAAATAATAACATCAGTTTGGGATGGAACAACCATTCGAGAAAGTGGAGAAGACTACCTAGAAGAGCTACTGAGGAGAAATATGGTTATTGTTGAAAACGGCAATGGCTATTGGGGTTCAAGGAGAGACTATTGTAAAATGCATGACATGATGAGAGAAGTATGTTTATCTAAAGCCAAAGAAGAGAACTTTCTTCAAGTCATGGAAGTCTCTACTTCTACTTCCATCAATGCTCATACTCCTAGTAGATCACGCAAACTTGTTGTACATAATGGTTATGTACTTCATATGTTGGAACATGACATCAATCGAAAAATCAGATCTGTTTTGTTTATTGGAATCCAGGGAAACTTGTGGAAGCAATCAGTTCCCAAGTTTTCGATGTTTACAGTTACTCGGGGTGTTGGATCTCACTGGAGCTAAGTTTAGAGGAGGGAAGTTACCTTCCAGCATTGGAGAGCTCATTCACTTGAGATACTTAAGCTTATCAATGGCTTATGTACATCAGCTATGAAGAATCTAGAGCTTATGCTCTATTTGAACTTAAGAGTTGATGTTGGGAAAGTAGTTCATGTGCCAAATGTTTTAAAAGAGATGCAAGAACTAAGGTACATATATTTACCCTTTTCTATGGATAACAAAACAAAGTTAGAACTGGATGCTCTAGTGAACCTAGAGACATTGTGGTCTTTCTCAACGAAAAATTGTAGAGTGACAGACCTCCATATAACTAGGCTCAGGACTCTCATAGTGAATTTTAATGGCGGGTGTACTTCTGAAACTTTATCGTCATCTTTCCGTGAATTGAGAAACCTCGAGAAGCTTTGTTTATCTAATTGGGATAAATCCCATGTGGCTTATCATGGTGGAGATTTCGTTTGGGATTTCATTCATCTAAGAGACTTAGAGTTGTCCATGTACATGCCAAGGTTTCCTCATCAATCTCGATTCCCTCCCCACCTTACACACATCTACCTACAATTTTGTAGGATGGAGGAGGATCCAATGCCAATTCTGGACAAGATGCTTCATTTAAAGTCTGTTGCCTTATCATATCGTAGTTTTGTCGGGAAGAGAATGGTTTGCTCAGAAGGTGGATTCCCTCAGTTATGTGATCTACGAATATCTGAGGAAAATGAGTGGGAGAAATGGATAGTAGAAAAAGGGTCGATGCATGCCTTCGTGCTTTGGTTATAGATGACTGCAAAAAGTTGAAGGAGCTACCGGATGGGATGAAGTATATAACTTCTTTAAAGGAACTCAGAATTGTAAGAATGAATAGGGAGTGGACGAAGAAATTGGTACCAGGTGGAGAAAATTACTTCAAAGTCCAACACATTCCTAGTGTTCTATTTATCAACTATGACAACGAATTGAAATAACAGGTATATTTTTTTTGTTTTGTCTCCACTTAGAGCATCTGCAATGAGAGTTTCTCATGAGAAATTTCCAATATTAATTAAATAATAATTAACTGTTGAACCAGAAAATTATTACTAGGAATTTGATTAACAGTTGTGGGTTTCGGAAAACAAGTTTTTTATTAATAGCTCAAAGATGAAGCGATTACAAGAGATAGCTTAACCGAAAGATTATGCCAAAGTGAAAAGAAAGTGTTTGCAAAGCAAATTAGAAAGCGTTAGAGTTCTTGGTTTTAGCTCGGCTGCTTTCTATATTGTATGAAATAGGAGGTTGGTCGCTCCATGCTCCTTTTCCTTTTCTCCTTTGGTGAATATTTCCATATTTACGATATGGAAATATCACTTATTCTCTAAAGAATATGGAAATTTTCCTTTATCCTTTGAGTTCGATGCTTCCGGACTTCAAAGATTATCTTTAAGAGTTTTCATTTTTTTAGAGCTAAGTCAGTGCGGTCTTCCTGGTCCCGATAGACTTAGGTTATTGCTAGAGAAAACTTTTTGGGAAATGTGCTCATTTCTCCTCTAACAGTAAGTCCTCTACCCCCCAGTTCGGTGAGACTGATTGTAAATCAGGTTGGCGGACTTCATGAAGTTAAGTGGGTTTGATTATTAGGTGGATTTGACTTGTGGCGCTTCTTTTAAATAAATTTATTTAAATATTCGACCATTAGGGTTTTGCTTCGAGGCTGCTATGGCGCGTCAACAAGCTACCCTTCCGCCTGAGGGATCTGCTCCCCCATAAGATATTGATGCTCCAGGTGCTGATGATGCCAGTCCAAACGCTCCCGCCGAGCCTAAGCAGGAAGAGGAGTTCTTCGATTGCAATCCTCATCACTTCAGGTTGAAATGGGATGGTGCCACTCCGGCGATGCTCGATCGCGAGTTTGCCACGAAGCTTATTTGGAAGTGCAAGAAGAATTCGAAGTGGGGCACTCCCCTGCGGGCGATGAGGCTAGCAGAGTCGATTACTTTGGCGAATCATCTGATTGGCCAGGTATTTTATATGAGATTCCTTGAACTTTTCTTTTTGTCCGGACGCGTATCCTAAAATGGGTTGTGCTAGCAGGAAAATAAGCACATTTCATAAATGGCTTTCTCTAGCAATAACCTAAGCCCATCGCGAACAGGAAGACCGCACCGACCTAGCTCTAATAAAATGAAAACTCTAAAAGATAATCTTTGAAGTCCGGAAGCATCAGATCAACTCAAAGGATAAAAAAGAATTTTCATATTCTTCAGAAAATAAGGGATATTCCATATCGCAAATATGGAAATATTCACCAAAAGGAGAAAAGGAAAAGGAGCTTGGAGCGACCGACCTCCTATTCCTATAAATAAGAACGCCCCGAAGCTCAAGAGGACAACTCATACTATCTAGAGAGCAGCAGAGCTAAAATCAAGAACTCCAACGCTTTTTAGTTTACTTCGCAAACACTTTCTTTTCACTTCGGCATAACCTTTCAGTTAAGCCATCTCTTGTAATAGCTTCATCGTTGAGCTATTAATAAAGAACTTGTTCTCCTTAACCCACAACTGTTAATCAAATCCCTAGTCGTGATTTTCTGGTTCACCAGTTGGCGCCATCTGTGGGGACTAGGAGAATAAATTCTAGAAACTAGCAAGAAAAGTTCCGAAGCAGTGAGCCTTCCGGCCGACTACAGCAACCTCACCTCTAACATAGAGGATACTACCACGCGTGTTGACACACCTGCTCTCGATGAGCACGGTAATCCTACCATCGTGATCCCATCACCTGCGGAAGCACCTCCGGCCCCTATCCTTCCCACCGACCTCGCTGCAGCGATCCAAGCCGCCTTACTCCCACTCACGCAAAACCTGGTGTCCAAATTGGACACTCTACAGACCTAACAGGCGAAATACGACGAACAACTAAGCACCCTGGCAGCCGCGACCACCGCGAGATCTGCACCACTATAACGAGTTAGTCTTCAAAACGCCGGAGCACGGCAACACTCGAGGCGCAGCACCAGCCAATGACAAACAAACTGACGAACTGAATTCCGAGATCGCAAAGCTGCATCAACAACTCAACGCGATCAGATCTCAAGTCCATCGCGCCACCAGTTCGGCACCCGAGATCTCGGCAATTCTGTCAGATACCGAACGTAACCCATTCGCCTCTCGGATTACTGACGTTCACCTCGGAGCGGCAATCAAACTGAAGCTCCCATACTAGAACGGGACGGAAGACCCAAATTTATGGCTGACTGGGTTCAACGTCGCTATGAAGAGACAACAATTCGAAACCGACCTCGAACGGGAAGCTAATCACTGTCAGACCTTCGTAGAGCACATCAGCAAAGGCGCTCACAAGTGGTTCTCCGATCTCCTGCCGGCTTCGATCAAATCCTTCAAGGAATTATCCCACGCCTTCATAAAGCACTATTTAATGTTCATCACGAAGTGGACGATCAACCTCTTCACCCTGATACAAGAGCACGACCAACCCCTTCGGGATTTCATTAAAAAATTCAAAGATGTCGCCGCAATATACGGCCAGATACCGCAAGCTTTAACCATCGAGGCACTTATGAATGGTATATGGTTCGAATCCTCTTTCAGAGAAGATTTGCAGAAAAATCCGAAAGACACCATAGAGGATGCACTTCATCGTGCCCAGACTTTCATATGAATGATTACGCTAAGAAGCATGGCATGGACGTAGCGAGCACTTTGTGAGACAAAGATCCGGCGAGCAAGAGCAAGCAATCCTCCCACGCCACCATGGCCACCAGAGAGAAGCCCTGGAATCTGTGGACTCGCGGCGATCCTCCAAGAAGTTCAGACGACAGAGACGATAACCATGATGTCTATTGCTCCTTCCATGGGCGAACATGACATGCTACTTCGGCCTGCCGACATCTCCACAATTTGTTGTATGAGAAATACAAGGAAGGCAAGATCGAAGTTGATGGAGACCGATCTCAGATCAAAAGTTCCTACTCATGTAGTTCCAACTCCAAGGATTCACGCCGAAGCTCCTCCAGCAAGGACCACCGAGATCAAAGCAAAAGCGGCAGCCGAAGTCGTTCACCCAAGAAGAAACGGGAAGAGAAAGATAAAGAAATGGGGGGGGGGGGGGGTGAGCACAAAAACGAGCTTGACAATCAACCCCCTCCACCCTAGTGACGGGTTAACATGATCATGGGAGTACTCCCGACTACGATGACTCGGTCCGCACCATCAAATAGTATGGATGAAAAGAAATTACCTCGCGAATATTCCATCGCCCCGTGGACTACCATCCCACAATTACCTTCACGTCGAAAGATATGCATGGGTTACACACCCCGCACAACGACCCGCTAGTTGTCGAGTTGCATATCCACGATAGCGAAGTGGCAAAAATACTGGTGGACATCGGCAGTACGGTTAACATCATCTTCAAAGATACCCTAACCAAGATGGGGCTCAGCGACGAGGATATCAAAGCAGCACCAAAACGGCTAACCGGCTTTGCCAGTGAATCCTTCTTCAGCCTCGGTACCATACGTCTGATTGTTTAAGTCGGCAGAGTCACGAAGATTTTCAAATTCACCGTTATGGATAAACCGGCAATCTATAATGTCATACTCGGCACACCATGGATCCACGAGATGAAAGCCATCGTGTCGACCTACCACCAGTGCATGAAGTTTGCTACCTCGGCTGGCATCTTCACACTTTGCGGCAATCAGCAGATGGCAAGGTCTTGCTTTTTCAGTGAACGCAAGGTGCGACTCACCGCGACAAAAGCCCTCGAGGACACAAAGGAAACAGATTAGATTCAGAAAGAATCTCGCAGCTTTTATATTTAGTTTTTACTCTCGGCATCAATAAAGGCCGGCTTGGCCTCTGAGTGACAATATTCATCTAATAATTGTAAAGAACTACGAATGGCTTAATCCCGACTTGGGTACGTAGGCAACAGCTGTAAATTTAATAAACTTCTATTTTTAGAAAATCAGCTCGGCATGTAGAGCAATCTTCGCTATAAGAATGCATTTAGCCGAGTCGATGTTCTGGCCAAACATTCGTCTCAAAGAGCTAAAAATCAAACAAAAACTAATTTTGTGGCTGATCACCACTCCTTTGATACTTCAGTTTGATTTAATTACTTCCGAAGTAGATAAGACGAAAGCCGAAGACAATACTCGCATGACCCTCGATCTTACCTTTCAGGCCGAAGTGAATCTTGAAAGCTTGGTATTCGATCATGTTGTCGTTTGGTATAAGACGGGCAAAGGGACCCCGCTCCCAACACCAGACTATAAAGATCCATCGCAGTACAAAGACTTTTTTTTTTTAAAAAAAAGAAGAGAGTCACTTACGCTAAAAAGCCAAATTCATTAAATAAACGAAAATCCCTTTCAGGCGATGTCATTACATACAAGGCTACACAAAAAGCCAAATAAATTACAACAACAAAAGTGAGAGATAACCGGCTTAGTTCGGCTCGTCTCTTGACTTTTTCATCTCTCCTTGCGCTTGTTTCAGCAGCTCGTCGATATGAGACCTGTTATCACATAAACGCAAACAATAAGGAAACCAAAGAGAGAACCTCTTACCACCAAAAAGGATGAACGGATGGAACAGACCTGCTCGGCAAAGTGAGACCGTCTTCAGTAGTGACAATCTCATCGATAGTTTTGCTGGCCGCCTGCCATTTCGCGAATTCCTTCTCAAAAGATGGAAGCGTTCCAGCGGGAAGTTCCGGTCCTTTTTGCTGCATCTTCTTCAGGTACGCTACCATAGCGCTGCTCTTTTCCACACCAA